TTGCTTGGGAACAAAATCCATCTTGAACCACCTTGGAGTAGTGGCAGCGGGTTAAATCGGGCCAAAAGATGACTTTGGCCCTATGCTTGCGGATGAATGGCAATACACGCTTTTTCAGGCATTCTTCTATGTAAACTTGGGATGTCATCGTCGAGGATGTGACGAATGGTTGCGTCTTCAGGCCACAACTACAAATCGCTTGCCAATCATGGCCTTCTTCGCGAACTTGTCGGCAAACACGAACTTGAATCTTCCCGGCATATCCCCACGTCCAGTCGCGATGTAAAACTTTTGACCGGGAAGCTGCTTAAAATCGAGTTTGACGTATGTTTTGTCATCGATCAAAGTGCAGCACTTGTGTTTCGTCGAAACACGGTCGTACAAGAGCCTTGCATTTTTTTTTGCCGTGGAATTCTGTTTCATGTGTCGGTTCGGATGTTTACTGGCTTTGTATAACTTGTATCCTTCCCTGGCACGAATGTTCCGCACCGTTTGTGTCGATGCAGGATTCGATGAGCTGGCCACCCTGTCAACCGACGTTTCCAAAGGCTGTTAAAGCGCCGCTGCAATAATATTGACAGACGTCAACGCTGGTGGCTCGAGCTGTCAACGGCAGCGACAGTGAAACGGGGAAGAATATTTCTGTTTATCTGTTTGGATAAAAGTTCGCGGCGTGGTCGGTAGTGTTTCTTACCGCTACAGTTAAAATTATTTTGCTATTATATTACTTATATTAGGGAGTGCTGGAGTTTATTACAATCTAGTAAAGGAGGTAAAAAGTTCAAACTATTAAATCTAAACTTAAAACGAAACTAATTCTAAACTTACCTAGGACCTAGAAGCTAACCATAAACTTAAAGCGCGGGAGAGACCCCACGCTACAAAGAATCACCAAATTTGTGAGTAAAATGAAAATTATGATAGTGATGTTTCTAATGAAATAAAATAATTGCAGTGAAGCAAACGTTAAAGCAAAAGGCTTTCAGAAAAGATTCTCTGACCTTTCCCCCACACGCGCGGACAGTTTGAATGTTGGCGTTGTAGCTACTGGCCACATCTCGGATCAAAAAAGACCGGGGTTGACTTTAGCGCACCTCAACACCTTGCTGCGCAGCTGACGATCCCTGGTTCCAGTTTTTTCATAGGTCCGCTGATTCCTTTCCACACTCAGGGTTTCTTTGTATGTTTTGACCACTCGACAAACTGCTGTTTTCAGCATCTTCATCACTTTAGCCAGCTTGGAACCGAACACAATCTTTCGAGTTCCTTTTGACGTTATTTCCGAACGCGATCGACTACTTTGATCAAGCTTGCATCAGTTGTTCTCTGTAGAAGTGTAAACAAACCACTGTCAAAGATTTTCGATTCCCACCCAACACTAGTGGTGCGAGGGGCGTACCAATTTACTTTTAGTCAGCCTTTAGCTGATATTGCAGTTTACGCACCTTTTTGACTGGTAGCTTGCTTCTTGAAGAATATATTTACCACTACACAACTAGCGCTGCTTTGAATATATTTATGTATGTGGTTGATTTTACCGTCTTCTTCCGGACATGATACAGAATAATTATTAACGTTTTGAGCCAATAGCACTAGCTGTTATTATCCATATCCTATTTGAACCGCACTTGTTTAAAATGTGGATTGCTGAACGTAAGATGAAATAAAAAGATTTTAGAAATTCGGGAAAATAATACATTCGAAGTAATGGAATTCGGGGTAATGTCATAGAGTCTGATTTCCTACATGTCGCCCCCGTTCCTAAACTACCCATATTGTTGGGTACATTCGAAACTTGCTGGTTGGAAATCCACCTCGGCACAACTAACGAATTCGGTTCTTTAGTTGGATCAACTGACGAAGGTAATTTTTTTTTGGGTTATGCGCATCCTTTGTTGTGGTTAAGATGATTTAACAAAAACCACTTCGGGTTGAAGTAAGTTGCTTGAAGCTGAGTGGAAAAGGTAAAACACTGATGTGCCTAACTCTAGATAGAGCTGGAATTAGGGCGTAACAGCCTTTGTAAACAATGACTTCTCTCGTTGATTTCTCAAAATTCAAGGCACGCACGGAAAACAAATTATAGCAGACACAATTATTTTTCCGGTCAAAATAACTATATTGTTCAATTGTTTTAGAGATAACCCGAAACTATAGTTGATTTGACTATATATAGAGGGCAACAACTATAGTCCATAGTTGGCTCCTCGGTTGGCTCAACTATATTTTTCAGTCGATGAACAAACGTCAAACTCCAAAATACAACTATGCTTTAGTTGATTCAAGAAAACTATTGTTAGGAAAGCAAAATTTTACAATGTTTATTAAACGAACTGCTCTTCATTATCGACATATCAAGGAAGTTTGTTTTGCTTCTTTATCGATCTCGAAAACACAACTGCAAAATCATAAAAAAAGTGACCAAGAACATTCAACTTAGATTTGAACCGTGTTCATCTGCGTGAGAGCCAGCTATCTTATCGCCTGCTCTACGCATCACAAGTTAAAAGTGTGTGAATTTATGATGATCACTTGAAACCAAAGTGTATAAATAAATTACATTTGGCGGTTGTTATAATTGATCAAAGTTATAGTTGAATTGAGTATAAGATGAACAGTTGAATCTATTAGGTAAATATGATTGAGTTGGCGGTCGAATTAATGTTGAAATAACTATAGGTTTCTTTCAAACAACAATATTTTTCCATGTGAAAGTAACTATTAGGATTGTTATCTTAACTTAACGAATTTGTTCTCCGTGCGCCTACACAAACCAGCATATCCATCGGGTAGGAGAAGTCTTCCTCTACTCGATGGTGATGTCGATTTTAAAGGGAGAGTCATGGCAAGTAACAAATTTCCAAAGATGAGCTGTATGTTTTCTATAGGCCCTTTTTAAAAATAAGGCTTGATTTAAAATCGCAATTTCAAGATGGAAAGTGGCATTTTTGGGAAAAGGAACGTCGTTGCAAATTTGCATCCAAATAAAAAAACATACAAGAAATGAATTAGCAAATTAATATGGAACCACTCAAATGTCCTTTTTCAGCCTTACCAGAACCGGTTCCGGGTATCTGAATGTGGCCAGATCCACTTTTTAGCCCATTGCATGATGTCTATTTAATTTTTGATGAAAAATCATCAATTTTGAACTGTCAGACGGTACACGGAAAACAAATTATAGCAGACACAATTATTTTTCCGGTCAAAATAACTATATTGTTCAATTGTTTTAGAGATAACCCGAAACTATAGTTGATTTGACTATATATAGAGGGCAACAACTATAGTCCATAGTTGGCTCCTCGGTTGGCTCAACTATATTTTTCAGTCGATGAACAAACGTCAAACTCCAAAATACAACTATGCTTTAGTTGATTCAAGAAAACTATTGTTAGGAAAGCAAAATTTTACAATGTTTATTAAACGAACTGCTCTTCATTATCGACATATCAAGGAAGTTTGTTTTGCTTCTTTATCGATCTCGAAAACACAACTGCAAAATCATAAAAAAAAGTGACCAAGAACATTCAACTTAGATTTGAACCGTGTTCATCTGCGTGAGAGCCAGCTATCTTATCGCCTGCTCTACGCATCACAAGTTAAAAGTGTGTGGATTTATGATGATCACTTGAAACCAAAGTGTATAAATAAATTACATTTGGCGGTTGTTATAATTGATCAAAGTTATAGTTGAATTGAGTATAAGATGAACAGTTGAATCTATTAGGTAAATATGATTGAGTTGGCGGTCGAATTAATGTTGGAATAACTATAGGTTTCTTTCAAACAACAATATTTTTCCATGTGAAAGTAACTATTAGGATTGTTATCTTAACTTAACGAATTTGTTCTCCGTGTACCAGTACATGAGGATTAGGAATTTTCCTTTTTGGGTTGGGTCCTCCCGGAACCGGTTCTTGGTATCCGGATCCACCTGTTGGTCTATGACATGATGTAAATTTACTTATGGATGAAAATTCATCCATTTTGAGCCGACGGACGATATCAGTACATGAGTGTCCTTTCTGAGCCCTACCGGAACCGGTGCCAGGTAGCCTAAATGGCCAAATTGAAACCTTCATTTTTCATTAGAGGCCAATAGATCAAGAATCGGTTAAAACATTGATTTTTGAAAGCGAGTTGTAGTTCGGGTCTGCACAATGCGTAATTTGTGTTGTATGCAACATCTAAAATACATAAACCACTTATAACTTTAAAACTAAAAAAGAATAGCAAAGAAATAAAAAATAAATTAACATAACTAGAGAATATATTTGTTACGAGAAATCAATGTTTAAAAAATTACTGTTGAAAGAACGATTTTTGGGGAGTCGCGAAATATTGCTTATTAAAAACAAGTATAAATCGTGTACCAAAAGAGATATAAAATGGCTTTCTTCAGCAAAGTTGCTTCAAATAAGTTGTTCTACAACTGATGGCGAGAAAAACCCCAACGTTCTCGGCTAGGATTGACCCCAAACACTGACTAAGTAGGCAGTCACGCTTAGGACTCAATCACCAATAAGTGCTTTATTGATCTCATACCTACAAAAATTGTCTTAATTCTGGGACTTCAGAAATTCTCAAAAAATGTAACGAATTAAAATCATGTAGCAAGGTAAACATTTGCTGCAATGTAACAGCATAATCATTTTGCCCATTTACCCAAATCCAGAACTGTGGCAATTGTCCGATTTCCACATACCATCTTTTGTTCGATCTCCGATAAGATGATTGACAACTATGTCAACACCTCTTATCGCACTGGCTACTTATTGTTATCAGCTTAATCGGATCGACGCCAAAGCGTGCAGACATCCACAGGAACTCACGTGACTCAATCAATTATTTGTCCCACCTCCACTGTGGACCCCAGCAGCAATCATAAATCATGTTACGGAACACCACACGCACAAAAAATCAAGCCCCCGCAAATTGATTGGTGATAACTATCAGATCGCTTTCTACACAAAAACAAACGTTAATCGCTTACTCACCTGAGTTAAGTTTAGGTCTTCGCAAATGCATTCTACCGATGGCAGGAAATAATCACCAACGGTAATCGCCAGGAATGTGAAGAAATAGATTGCACCGATAAAATGCAGCACAATGGCACCCTGTAATCGCTGTTCCTCTGAAAATAAACATACCGTAACTGTTAGTAGACGGACGCAATTCTGCGAAACACTCGTAACTAACGTGTGAATACGTCGTCTGGAAGCTGATCTATCGCATTGCCTTCATCACAAACCAGTTCTATCTTTTGTCCGTCCTCGAGTACGACATAGTTGACTCTCCGGTATGGGTACCAGTGCCATGTGATTTTCTCTAGCTCTATTCGCTCATCAAGGGTCAGGTTCACGGGGGATTCACCGGAAAGCATGATTTGTTGAACGTTGATGGACCTGCCATCCGGAGGGACTTCCTGTGCTGTAGGAGCTTCTGGTATTTCTGAATCTGAGATGAATTCGCCATACCGATGATTCGAGAACGCTAAAAACCGGAAGGATAAAAAAAGTAGGCAATGATTTTTCAACATGATAGATTCGAGTATAAAATGCTAAGGATATTGATAAGGTTGTAAAACACGGCACACTTTGGTGTGCTGCGCATGTCGTACGGATGGTCAAAATTAGACAAGTCAAGTTTCGAACAAAATAAACAAATCAAAGTTCTTCATGACCGGATACAGCCCCACACTTAGAAATAACTACTTTTACACGAGACGTAATCCATATCGGACGTAAATCATGGGGCGTTAACAATCATTTCATGTAAAATTTAGTGTTCTCAAACCGAAACATAAGCAAATCGACGAAGAGAACGTTTGATTGAATTGATTTTCTCGTTTCTTTCAACTGATTCTTATGTCAAAAGGGCCGTTTACATGTGTCGGTCTCAGGGAACCGAAATTTACATGAGTTTTGAGTAGTTTACTGATCAACTTACTATGATACAAGAATATCTAACAGTCATGATTTACTGAACAGTTAAAGTTAACCGCACACACTTAGAAAAAATTATGTAAATTTAACTGACATATACGAGTGTCAATTTTGAAACAACATTGAGTCATAATAGACGCAGAATTCAACTCAACCAAACGTACTTTCTAACTTTTCAGTCTCGGATAACTTAATTTTACATGACATGTTTGTTTACGTCTCATTCTTTGTGTCAAAGATGTTTTTTTTATTATTATTATTATAGTCACTTTAACATTCTTGGGTCATTCGTGACTTGTCCGGGGTGAGATTTGAACTCGTGACTTTGGCGTGAGAGGTATGGATGTTAAACACTACGCCGGGGTCGCCCCCTATGTCAAAGATGTATTCCGTCACGTGTAAGATTAGGTATTTCTAAATGTATATGATTGATCATCTGAAGGTTTTTAGAATAATTTCAGATCAACCTTCTTTCTTGTGAGAATATCTTAGAGACATGATTTGTTTTATTAAACAATTAGAGATCTTCAGAATAAAAGGCATAATATTCAGAATACTTTCTGAGCCATCTGCACAACAAAAAAATAATTTTATTATCACATCAAAGTTGATGCACTTCAATCATGTCAAAAATATGGTGTAATATTACTTGCCAAAAAGGACAAAATTATCATTAATACAGTGCATGAACTGACATTACTCTGCTTTTACTGCATTTGTTTATTTTTGGGGTCATAAAAATTTCATAAGATTTTCGACATGGTTGAAGTGCATCCTCTTGGATGTAATATTGAAATTTATTTTTTGCTGTGTGGAATCACGATAGAGGTGTAATTCCTGCCACTCCCGTCACTTTTTCTTCAACTTCAGGAATGCATCCAGAGTTTTATTGCGGTTCCATTAGTTTCAGGAAAACTGCAGGAACTTTTCAGAAGTTCTGATACTTCAGAATAGTCCAGACTTTTTGGTAAGCAATGATGGATCACTCTTTCGGGAATTTTCCAATACTTTTTAATATAGAATGCGTACGTTAAATATAATTGACTTTTCAGTTAATCCATCTTAAAACAAGATAGTTTAGTGCTACTAATCTCCCTATCAAAATTCAAAATTTTCGCACCGCAGACCCACACTCTATGTTTTCACTGAAGGTACACTTGAGAGCGCTCTGGAGTGCACCTTCAGTGAAAACACAGAGTGTGGATCAACGGCTCAAAAATTTTGCATTTTTATAAGGAGTGGGACCGATTTAACTACCAGAGGGGGCAGCTTTTGCTTTGTTGCTAGAGGCTTTCCTGATGGTCCTTCGCCATGATGTTTGCTTGACTCGTTGTCAGGGTAGTTGCCTGCAGGTGTTGCTTGCGAGAATTGATGTCTTCCGCATCTGCGACGATCGCAAATCGGTTGTTGTTCTGATCTTGTTCTTCCCTGTTAGCGGTATGAAAATCCACTGAACGGTTAGACATGCTACTGTTCCGTTTGCCCTTCTTCTCAATAGGGCTTTCCTTCGTGTCGTTGGAGTTGAGACTTTTTTCTTACTCTTTCTATCCATGTTTTTGTTGAAAACTTGACTACACTTTCCGAATGTTCCAAAACGCTTACTAAATTCTTACACTGGAGTTCCAATCAATTTCCGCTTTTTTTTAGTATCTATTGAATAAACCAGAAATTTTGTGCACGAAAATGCGTAATATTGACATTAGAAAACGAGGTATTTCCGTGATGGAAAATGTGGTTTCCCTAACACAGTCACCGAATATTGATTCCAAGCACTAAGCATGCCAGGCCGTACCTATCTTTAGGCCTTTTGTTGCAAATTTTAAGCCCCTCCTATTAAGAGAATTATGCCAAAAAAAATCTTGCCGATTTCTCTAAATTTCTCTAAAAGAGGCTTAAAATTTGCATCAAAAAGTATAAACGTAGGTACCGTCCGGTAGGCTCAGAATCCAGGACCAATTTCCACAGCATTGTTCTAAGCTGACTTCCAAGCTTCCAACCCATCGGTCCTATTCAGGACCACAAATGACTGAAAAAGATGTAACTAAAGAGTAAGAGCTTGTTTCCAAGACATACCGTCTAGAATTGGCTTGTACTACATGGACATCGACAGAGCACCTCACAAACAGAACTCTCAAATTGCTTCCGAATTTCAACCTATCGAACTTTTTCTCTGATAACGAGTTAAGAAATCAGTTTACTTTTGCGGTGACATCAAAACTACCTTTCGTAATCCTACGTCAAATCTACGGTCGTGTCTTGGATACAACCTCTTACTTTTTTAGTTAGAGGAGTGGAGCGACGGGCAAGCGTCTTGAATAAGCTTATAAAAGAAGATTCTGAAGAACAGTTATGATGTAGGCATGTATGAGCTTTTAAAACAAACATCTAAAGAAGTTTCTGAAGGAAGATTCTAAAAGAAGCTTCTTTTGAAAACTGATTCTAGATGCTTATCCGTCGCTCCGTTCATCAGACTAAAAAACACGGGCAGGACAGTACATTGAAGTAGCTACGCAGTAAAAGAGCATTTTACAAGGTTTACACACTCAGCAACGTTTTCCTTGTTCGGTAATTTTTTACCGAAAATAATCGGTAAATGAAGAATGTTACAGATTTTTCGGTAAACAAAAATAATATTACTAACATTTGGTAATGTTTTACCGAAGTGATGGTAATCTGGCTTCTATATTGACGAACTTCGTTAAAAAGAGTACAGTAAGAACTGTAAAACAAAGCAAACGCCGAATTCGGTTAAAAAATACCGAACAAACTGCAAATTACAGAAACGTTTACCGAACTTCTGTAAATAATTCCAGACTGTCAATCGAAATACGGTCATATTTATATCAAGTGTTAAAGTAAACAGTAAGAGTGGAAAGTGACCGGAAAATTCAGTGAAAAAAAAGTAAGTATGATCGCAAATACAGATGAATAATGTATCTATTAAATATTCATAATGATATTGATAATTACTTTTTTCTTTCATTTTTATGATTGCTCTTCAGACATAGCCAGGAATTCTGTGCTTTCGGGATCAGGTTCCAGTCAATGTTTCTGGACTGGCATCCCCATGAAAGCAGCCACCTGCGAAAAGAATACTCCAGCGAGCAATATATGTTATTTTAAAAGATATTTTTACCTAGATGTTTACTATTGAATAAAATCTCGTAAATAATAATGCAAAAAGAGCTTTAAATTTTTAATTCCCCGGAAAAAAAACAAAAAATACACAAGATCAACAAATTTTCATTTACGGGACAGTTCAGTCAAAAATTACTGAATAGTTTGGTAAATAATTACCACATTGTTCGGTAATTTTGACAGCTCATCAAAAAATCTGTTTACTGATCGTTAGGTTCAGCTGTTGAAAGTTCGGTAAAAAATTACCGAATACGGTAATAATTTCTAAGTGTGTAAGGATAATTTCATCGATTTAATATTACAGAATTTGAAGCAACTGTTACGTCGACGAGCGTGTTCAAGTGATTCTGAGTTTCGGGATGCTGATTGCGTTGCGCAGCTGATGCCAGGAGCAGTGCTACTACACTCAACTTAGCGTAAAATTAAGACAAACTTAACAGATAGACCAACTTTCTGCATGAATTTAAATTTTGACATATCAGCATTCAAGATCAAGGCAACCTCTGAGTATCGAAGTCAACTTTAACTTTCCCCCAGGAAATTTTCCCCTACTTGCTAGTGGTGTTAGTAAGCGTGTGCGAACTACCAGTTATGCCATATCGAATTGGCATGTACCAATATTTGGTTCCGTGACCCCAACGCTGGCACTTACGGCCCTGGGTGAGGTTTCGAAAAGTGTTCCCACTTCACTCGGAAATGGAGCATAAGGCTAGCTTTTTCCAAGACCTTAAGGTTGTTTAGATCACTAGACTTGAAGTGAACTAAATAAAAATCATTGGAAATCTGGTTGCGTAAATCGCCAGAACGGGATTTCATTTTCATTTTGATTACTTGGACCGGCTCAACTCCAAGTATTATAGTCAATTCATCTTTGTTCTGGTCCAGGGATTCACCACTGGGCAGACCTTTCAACACAACCTTGAACAGATGTTCAGTTTTGGTGTCGTAAGTAAAAAACGTGTGTTCCTTGAGAAGACGTTTGAATCCGTCCAAGGTTTCAGCCAAAGCACGGCATTCACCCCGACGGCCAATTTGAAGTGAAACCTTAAATTGAACGAACTTCAAAAGTTCCTTGCGAAGAGCATGGAAATCGGAAGTGGTTATAATAATAGGGGGAACCTTTACCTTTTTCGCATTAAGCCGGGAATGTTTAATGGAATTTCGCCTGGATGATGGATCATTATCGTCATCCGTAAGCGTATCAAATTGATTGCTCAATATAATTTCATCAGAAGGGGGATCAAGCGATTGCCCTTTTCTACTGCGCTTTGGTGGCAACCAAGTTTCTCCAAATGGACTTCCAAGTAGATTACTATAAGAACAGGGTGGCCAGTGAATTTTCATTTTGAAATTACCGGTTTTTTCCCGGTTCTCCCGGTTCAAATCTTTAAAAAAAAACGGTTGTTAGTA